CTCATGTTTACAAAGGGCCTCTGTGTCCATACTCCAGGGAGAGCATGTTTTCCACTCTTCTAGTTGTCAAACGGCCTTCTAGGTGGTCACTGTAATTATCTCATTTTACAAGAAGGGAACCTAGGCACAGGGACCTGAAAACACTTGGCTAAGAAGTGGAACACTATGCTCAAGCTGATGGGAGGCCCGTGCTCTTGGCAGTTACACCTCACTGTGGTTCTCTCCATTATACTTAGTCACAAGGTGAGGCTGCAGTGGCTCAAATCTGTAGCTGCAGGGCCACCTCTGGGCAGGCAACACATGCTTCTCCACCTGACAGTAATGCCTTGTCAGTGCATTACAAAATGCAATAATGCAACATTACAGATGAAATGACAATGATTCAAATTTCCTGAAATTTCTATTTGCAAATTTGAAAAAATAATTTTGCATTAATGTAAGCTTTGCATCTAAAAGAGAATTTAACTTTGATGTGCAACACACAAATTATATTAAGACATTAAATCTGTAACTCATTGTTAAAAAATAGCTTATTTTAAGAAAAGAAAACTTTCCAGTCTTTGATATATATTCTTAAAAACATGAAAATAAAATTCCTTTCCACAACTGTCCTCTTCCATTTCACACATATTGATCTTTCCATATGTTTTAAATAATCATGAAATTAATAGGAACTGTTTTTAATAAATCCAAATCATAGCTCCTTTCATGTCAAAATATTTTGGGAACAACTGAGGTGAAAAAGCTGCTTCTACATTAGGAGAAACTAAGAACAACCCAGAACAGCTTTAGAACAGAAAGCTGAGAAGGCTCTGCAAGGGGAGTGCAATAAAGAGGGCTCCGTGGCAGGACCAAGGCCAGAGCCCAGGCGAGCCACAGCCACAGGAGGTGGAAAGGGAAGAACTGTTTGCAAACAAATGAGCTGAGAACCAAAGGAAGAGACTTACCCGGGGAGCAGGGAGCGGAGCAAGCCAGGTCTGCATGGCCGACAGCCTTGTAGGTGTGTAGCAGCAGGAAAAAGGTCTGTGTAGTTTTTGAAAATGGGTGATGATACTTATCTAACTGAGCTATAGAGAAGGATCGATGGATAACAGCACACAGTCCCTTGTACAGTTTGGCCCTGTAGATGCAGGGGAAAGGGACCACTTCACTCACCCCTGTTCCCCAGGCACAGAACAGCTGAGCAGAGAAGGCCAACAGGAAGACCCTTCTGGGTGGGCTGGCAAGGCCTTCTTATAAGTCATCCAGAATCTGCTTCACAGCTCAGATATTTTGAAAGTGTTTATGTTCCTATTTTATAAACTAATAACAGGGTAAATTTTTAAAAAATCCATTAAGGGGGGAAAAAGCCACTTCAGAGTATGTTTTCCTTCATACTAATTAACCACAAACCCATACTACATTTATGTTGTGGGAAATACTACTTGATAAGGTCATTACGTTACTTATTAAATGATTAAGTTGTCAGGATAGCTAAAAGTGGTAAAAAAAAAAGCAGTTGTTTTAAATGTTCTACTATCTGAAGATTGGGTATTGGTGTAGGTGTTATTTTGGGACTGGAAATGACTAATTTGTAATGTAATGAATTTACTATTATATGAGATGAAGCCATGACTTTATGGGATTGAGTCACAGAACAATTTGTGATACATCTATTTTTAAACTTAAAAGTCTTCAATTACAACAAGCACTACTATGTTTGAAGAGACTGTTAACATCATAGAGCGTACTTAATTTTCAGCATATTATGGGTCACTACTGATACCATTTCAACTCTATCAGATCTGGGAATTTTTATTTATTCATTTATTCTGTACCGGTGATCGAACTTGGGTCTTTGCACTTGCAAAGAGATCTAGGAAATTCTGAAAGACCACCACAGCATAAAGTCCAAGAGTCCTCGGACCTGCAGCAGTCAAGTGTGCCACCCAGAGGTGACAAGAGGAAACGCACCTTGGATTTTATTTGTAAAACAACACTGGTTGAATGTTGGTTTTTAAAATATTATGTTGTTATTTCTCTTATTTGAAAAATACAGTAAGTTCTTTATATGATTGGCTCTGCAAAAGAAAATATGTTTAGTGCCAGGATACATGTAAGCATGGCTCTTTTGAGAACTCTCATAAAATGGAAACAAACCCTTTGAAGGTACCAGCCAAAGGTGCATAGTTTGTCTATTAAAAAATTGAATTTTCACTATATTCTCTATAGTAAATGCTCTTTCTCTTTACAATTAATATAACATGTGTTTCCAGAAGTACATATAAGTTTTGAAACAAGTGACAGGATCTACTTAGAAATATAGACCAAATTAAACTAATTAACTAGAGACATTTCTTACTTAAATGACAAAAGTTTCTTTCATTAGAAGATCTTCTGCATAATTTTCTTCTGGCAAAAGAATAAAGTTTATTTAGAGTAATTCTGCTTGGCAGACAGTCAACTTCTAAAATATATACCAATAATTGTTAATGTTAAAGAAGTCGATTCTATTAAGCCCACATAAAATATAGGCTTCCAGCGGCCTAAACAATAGGTTGATTAGGCCATAAACAGAGATTTATGTTATCCCCATTTTGTCTCAGAGTCTGGAAGCTGGGATTACTGTGAACACTGGGTTGTCTTTCACGATTTATATATTGTACAACAAACTACAAAAGATCACTAAGTCTTCATTTAACTGAAAACATGGTACTCATTAAATGTGAAAAAAATTAAATATAATTTGAAAATTCCTTTTTCTAATCACAATCTAAAAAAATAATGCATAAAATTAGTTTTGGGTTCTTAAATACTATGATACACTCATTTCAACTCATTTTACTGTTTCATTTTCATGCCCAGTTACCTCAAACAGAAAGATACTTCTATCATACAGATTTATGTAACTTTCTAGAAAACTCATTCTAAGAAATATTATTAAAATTTGCTTTTACAAAGACCTGATGATGAATGTAATTATACTGCATACCTAAAAAGTACCAATAAACTCAATGAGGAAAAAAAATTGCTTTTACTAATCAGAAGATCCTATAGTCGATTATTTTCATTTTTTCTCCTGCAAAACCTTAGCAAAATACTACTTTAAAGTGGAGCACAAAGTAAACCTTTCCCCTGGGTAAGCACATCATTATCTGTGAAGTTCACTCATTCCTATTTATGCTCCTTAATCTTTTGCACACCTGAGTTGCATCATTCTGGAATAGATGCTTCCATCTGTAGGGATGGCTGTCCAACAGTTCATCAGGGAGTAGGAACAATTCTGCCTCACACCCTTAATTCTATGATCATTGAGGAAGTCAGAGAGGCTCTAGGGCTATGTCCAGTCACTGGACAGTATCTTCCATGTACTACTAAATTTAGGGTGAGCATGGCAGAGATGACTCCCTGAGACAGCATGACTAGGACTCAGATAAATGCTCAAGGATTAAAGCTGAAAGGATGTGTCAGGGACTATACCAAAAACTTTCACATGGAGCCCAAGGGGAAGGGAAGATTGAAGTACATTCAGAAGAAACTGAACAGCTAATTAGGAAAATGAGCTTTACATGTACCCTAGGGGCATTAAAATGTGTGTCTGCATTCTATATCCAAAGGAAGAAATACAGAAAGACAGCTAATAATCGGTTAATAAATGACCCAATTTCATTGGTAAGTACAAGCAATTTAATGTGTAAATTCTGAAACTGTCCCATTACTTCCAGTTGGTCAAGAAAAATCTAATGATAAAATGAAATCGCCTAACATTTTATTACATCTTTTCTCTTCCTCTCTTCGCATCTCTAGTACTACCATCTTAGTTCTTACCATTTAAAACATCTATATTAGATTAACCACTTCCTAATTAAGCTGTCTCCAGGCCAAAATCCTTGCTATATCTACCACCACATTTTCAAATCCAATCTCTCTGAGTCCAGAACGATCTCTATGAAACCAATCACTTCACTGCCTGTTTGATGTCTCATGCTGAGTCCAAAGTCCCTATCTGTACCCCTCCCCTCACACATGCCAGGGGACAATGCAAGGAAGTTAGACCAGGGGCTGCCACATCCTACCCTCAAATCAGGCATGGACAGGCCACAGTTGCCTGGAACAGCTAGTAATGTGGTGCCACAAAATCATAAACTGTTAACACTATTATGTGACTTTCAGCGATACTTTTCATAGTTCAATTGCACAGTCCCAGCATGGACTGGGTAGGTGACAACTGTGCCTCCTGTCCTCATATACAGTCACTGGAATCAAAATTTGTGTGTAACAGAGGTTACATGCACTTGTGGGATTTGACAAATAAAACACAGTGATTATCAGTAACAGTATTTCAATTTACCTACATGTACATGCCTGTGAAGACAGGCACTTATTGTTATGAAGCAGATATGTAGGCTTTCTCATTTAATTATTAAAACTGAGCTTGGGTTATTTCATAAAATAATTTTAAAAATATAAATAAAGTTTTGTTATTAATATGAATCACTGATACTGTATGTTCTATATGTGGCCCAAGACAATTCTCTCCACTCCGGCCCAGGTAAACCATAAGGTTGGGTGCCTACAATCTACAAAGAGGGGGCCATGGTTAGAAAGTCTTGATCCTCTCTCCTCCTACTTAACCAAACTTAACTTTAATTTCTTTGGAAGATATTAAAATAATCCCTCATCAAGAAATGTCAAGAGCGCCATCTCTACTAAAACAATTTCTATTTTAAAATGTCCAGAAACATATTCTTCAAAGAATAACAGTGTTTGAGATAATGTCTTGAAGTAGGCAATATGACTTAGATAGCAGAATAATTTCAAATTTAGTTTGTACAATGAGAAGTCAGTGTGGGGAAGAAGCAGGGATGCAGTGAGACCTGATTTAGTTTTGAAAGACCACCGTGCTTGCTGTATGTAAGAGACACTAAACATTTCTGAATATTTTCCTAAACCCTGACACCTGAAGAGCAGGGTGTGTAGTTTCCTACCAGTGGGCATCACAATAAGGAGTAATGGAGTACCTGGTCCTCACTGGTTAATCCCAGGTGCATCACGAGGTAGAAGTGCACCAGGAAGTCAGAATTTGGCAGGACATCCTGGCGTCTGGTCATCATGGCGCAGATCAGCCTGTAGGCTTGCAGTTTGCCCTCCTTATATTCATTTGGCAGTGTCGTCGCCTGCCAAGGAGATGATGTTTCCAGATTAAATCAACTCCAGATGCAGAACATTTTGACATTTCATTTATTTCTCAGTTTTCCAGAAGAGCTGTTTATGGAGATGTGGAATACAGTGGCTATACTATGACACAGCTTGTCTTCAAAACATGCAGTCCTGGGCAATTACCTTTCTAAAACTCAATTTCACAAAGGAAGAGGAAATTGCAATAAAGGAATAAACACATATCCACTTGCCTTAAATAACCATGATGCAAACATTCTGAGTGGTGGGATCAAGGCAGGAGGAGACGGAGAAGACTGGTTATCCAGGCTTACAGCTAGATTATCCCGGATCTAAGTCACAGAGAGCAGAACTTCAGCAAAGTGAACACTCAGCTTATCTCAAGGGTATTTCAATATTATCTTCCACAGCCAATTAAGTTTCTATAACTTGAGTGAAAATCTATAATATTTATACAAGCTTTTCTTTTATTGGGAGCTCACCTGTCCTTCTGAATTGTATCTGGCTTCCTCTATGGATTTAGATTTAAATATACACGTAGGCCATTATTTTTCCTTGAATATTAGTGCCTAGAGAGGTCCTGAACTCCAAATGAGGAGGAATGATTTAATAAGTTATAATGTACAAATATGAATCATGTCTCTGAAAACATTTTAAAACACAGGGAATGTGCTTACTTCGGCCGCACATATATTAAAACACAGGGAAAATGTATGTTTAGTACAAAAACAAAACTAAAATGAAATTTCATCTACTCTGTGATTCTACCTTTGTAAAAATATCTGTATCCACAAAAATAGGATTAAGTATTAGTATTAGTTACTTTTATGGGATGATGATGTAAATTTTTTCTTTGTATTTTGCACACTTTGGTTTTTTTGTATTTTTTGAGACAGGGTCTCACTATGTAGTTGAGACTACCCTGGAACTCACTATGTAGCCCAGGCTGGTCTCGAACTCACAGCGATCCTCCTGCCTCAGCCTCCCGACTGCTGGGATTACAGGCATGCACCACCACGCCCGACTCTTGCACACTTTGTACAACAAAACAGGCATCACTTTAAAAAATTTTTCAGCATGTTTGCAGTACATACTGATTATCACTATCACCTTAATAGAGGATAACTTAAACTAAGTAACACCCTATATAGTATCTTATATTAATATACTACTTTTGCACAAAATGAAATATTAAAATATTCGAGTTATAAATATGATTTGCTCTTTGATAAACAAATGTACTTTGTCTAAATGCCTGACCTGTGTTCTAGAATATGTTCCATAGTTAACTGCAACCCAGTTTTTACATGAAATGATGGATGAATGAAAGGAAATACCTTCGCTAGTTTGTACCAGAGCTCATAGAGATAGCCAAACACTTTGGCATGAATCTTGGGTGACTGGATGTTATTCACATCTCCGAGGATCCCCAAGATTCTTCTCCATAACACAGCAGCAGAATCTGGATGCCAGCCAGTGAGGTTCCCCCCAGCAATGATACTACAGTCATCCACCAGGCACTCACTGTTGTCTGAAGAGAGAGATACATGTGTTAACCTTGGAAACACAATCTTGATTTCCTTCTCACAGCTTCACTGTGAGTTCAAGACCAGCTTGGGCTACATAATGAGTTCCAGGTCAGTCTCAACTATATAGTGAGACCCTGTCTCCAAAAAAAAAAAAAGACTTTAAAATGTGAAATATCTAGGGGTGTAGAAGGATTGGATGAAGAAAGGTCAAATGATTTTGATTCTTCAAATTCAAATTCAAAGGGCAATAATCTGTGGCTGAAGTCATGGTGCCCACGAAGGGTGTGTCAAGCTACAGAGTGGATGAGACCCTGAGCAGGACAATGCCATAGAATCAGTGGCCAGACATTTGTGTGCTGGTTTCTGTGGCTGTTAGCACAGACTTATGCCTCTGTTCTGAGTCTCACCTAATTCCAGGTATGTCATTCCCCAGGTATGGTTTCCTCCTCATCTCACAACCCTGTGTACACAGAGGGCCTTCTGTCTGTCCTCACTCCCTTCTCAATCTCAACCAGGCCAACAAAAGGCAGATCTGAATGCTAGCCATATCCTCACACCTCCACATGTCATCTTTGGCCTCAATGTCTTTATCTCCATTCTGGACTCCTTTCCCCCAAAGATCTCTATGGCTCCATTTGCTCAGGACTGAATGGGAGCTTTGTCCAAAGTAGGCATGGCTCTGGTGAGATCCACTATGTTCTTGAAGAACCTAGAGATACATACTTTGGGCCAAATTTCTGGAACTCAACTTCTAGGGAAAAGACACCCTCCTGCTCACAGTATATAACTCTTCTCCTTCCCTTGACTTCAAGGCAGTGTCTCTGCCCTAAGTTGTGCACTGGAGACTCTGGGCCAGCAACCCCACATTGACTTTCTCCACCTTCTTGAGTGAGGGAGCAGCTGGGGTGGTGGAGCTCTTGCTCAACTTCTAGTCTTCTGTTTTTAGCCTCTCCATGGCCTCAACTTCTTAGTTGCCCACTGTAGGCCATTTTCTATCCCTTGAGAGACCTGCAGTGATATAGGCAGCTTGCTTCTTGGCTTTCCTGAGCACTGACACAGGCGGTAGTGTTCAGGCCTTCCCGTTCACCCTACAGTCATCTTCTCTCAGCTTCTATAAATTGTTTGGTAAGATCCTTCTCCTGCCTTCTTTGTCCTTATGGATTTACATACTATTTCATATAAATCTTATGCAGCTCAGGTAGATTTTAGGGAACAAGTGGGGTTACTTTGTTCATTCTACTGTCTTTAACTTAAATAAGCATCATAGGATTTTTAATGCTCTATCATTCATTGTTATTTTTAAATTTCACTTTATAATTTTATGTTGTTTTAAAACATTTATTTTTTTTAAACAATTACTATTTTAATAAAAGCACTTCCGGGTTTATAAAAACTTACAAAGATAACACAGAGTTGCCATATCTTCCACACCTAGTTTCCCCATTATTAATAATTAATATTGGGTATAATTAACAAACTAGTATTAAAACACTGCTATAAAGTCCCCTTCATTTAGATTTCTTTGGTTTTTACCAATATTGTTTTTCTCTTTTTGTTCTAGGGCCTCACCTATGACAAATAGTTGTCATATTTCCTCTATATTGGCATAGAATATACTCTATTTATATACATTTGTATTGTATACAATAAACATTTGTATTGTATTCCAGTAATAATCTCTTCCCATATAAGATATTTTCCCCAGTACTCACAGACTTCATTTGCTGATGCTGTGTTAGGGATTTATGTTTATTCCTTGTAAGACGGCCTCTAATTTTGCTTTTACTGTATTGACTTTGTCTGGTTTTGTTATAAAAGTTACATAAGAAAAATAACAGAAATTAGCTTTCTTTCTCTATGGGACACGTTGGAAAAGATAGTTTCCTTTTATTTGAAAGTTCAATAAAATTAGGTACTATCCTTTATATCTATAAATTTATTCACATTATACACTATTACTTTTAAGATTTATATTGCTTTTGTAGTTCTGTTCCCTTTTCTACCTCTAGCATATTTTCCTTGGTCAAACTTGCCTGTTTTTATTAGAAGGTAGTTTGGTTTTCTTCTATTTTTGCTTATTTACTTTCTAGTACAATCATGTATCCTATTTCTTTAAAATTAACTTCCATGTTATTCTGTTACTCTTTCCCCTAATCTTTTGAATAAAGCACATAGATAAAAAATTTTCTCTTCTAATATATGTATTTCAGGTCATTTTTTTTCTACAAAACATTTATTTTTCTTTTGTTGTATTTTTGTCATTCTTCTTAGTTTTATTTCATCAAATTCACAGAATGTAGTTACAAATCATGGACATTTACTGAAACATGATCAAACTGCTCAATTTCTATAGTCTATGTGCTTTTAAAATCGTAAGTATTTTTAATTGCTAAGTTCAAAGGTTTATCTTGAATTTCTCTATTCAGCTGAGATTAATTGTACTGTGTAAGTTTTCTCTAATCCAACTCACTTATTTCTGTTTAAATTATTAATTAGACATGATATGAAAATCTCCTATGATGGTGGATTTATCAATAATACCTTATAATTATGTCAAACTTTGCTTCAGTGTCTGGAGGCTAGCAAGTTCACATGAATTCAGAAAAACTGCCAATAACTGCTAGCAATTTCTGTTTAAAGTTTATACAAGTAGCTGACACAGTTACAGCTAAGCTAAGCCAGTGAGTGGTCTTCTTTCCTTTTTCTAAGTTTATGTTTATTGTATTTGCTTTAGGCTTTATGTTTAAATCAGCCTTACTTTGCTTTGGAGTCTTTGAAGAGAATTTAGAGAGTTGTGTCCCACCCCTATCAGTATCTTTCTCTGTAGTCTCACACTATTTGTTCACTACTAACATAATTATTATCAATTTATTCTAAGCCTTATCCCACATCTTTACAAGTAAGGACAACTGGCTTCCAGGCATTCACCAATCCCTACTAAGTGCCATCTTGATTGCATCTGTCGTTGGTATTTTTAGGGCCTCATCAAAGATGCTCCAGCAAGTCTCTGGGTCTGAGGAACTCAATAAGAGGGAGGACCAGAGCAACTGGAAGCCAGAGGAATGGCTCCCTGGAGCACACTGTGTCAGCAATGGAAAGATGCCAGGATGCAGGGACACAGGATTTACGAGAATGGCAGAGTGTCATGGGAGGGCCTTCCAGGAAGGCTGTTCTAAGAGGAAAACACACCGTGGCTCCTGCTATCACATGGCCACAGGAGGGACATATGCAACCTGGGAGCCCAACAGGCCATGCCTGAAGGGCCAGGAGCCTATCGAGGCCTTCTGCATTCTCGGACGGATTCCTAAAGCCTCAGCCTCCTCCCCAAAATCTTCTGTAAATTAAGTGCAGCTCCCGCAAGCATCTGTCCAGGTGTTGGAGCCTTGAGGAATGCTTATGAGCCAAGATGAGCCTCCAAATGGAAAAGGAGCACAATGCGGTATTCATTTGTCCCGTAAAAAAATGCCACATTGTCTTTAATCTCTAGGTAGGGAAAATGGAAAGAAGAGTAGGTGACTTAGGGTTCTGTTTCACTGCCTACCCCAAAATGGACAATGCAGCCATCCAGAATTGAGAATTGCCCAGCATTTCACTCACACAGCAGCTCTGCTAGAGTAACAGCTCTCCACAAGTGTGGTCCAAGTATCTCATGGCCACATCTGTCTACTACCTGCAACTAAAAGATCCAACATAGAAAAAAATCAGTTTCAATACTGCTAGGCACTCAAAAAAATTCTTGCTTCACTAATAAAAATCCTAACATGATAGTTATCAAAATATTCTCAGTTCTTTAGAATGACTGTATGCACTTTTTCAATATTATTGTGAAAAATATTTTAATGAGTTGGAATGTCTTTGTCCAAAATCACCCTGATGGTGGCAGAAGTAACAGAACAGCTGCTGACATTTTACATGTAGATGGCTCCTCAGTGACAGACACTTAATTAAAAGTGGCAATCCAAGAGATTCAGAAAATTTCATGATTACCACCAAAATACCAAATATTTAATTCCTTCTTCATAAGCAAGCTAGAATGCTAGGCTGGTATCTTTTTGGTTCATTATAACTACATGCTATGGAGGCATTTAAGTTTTTTTTTTAATATTTAAAGTGGGAACAATTACAAACCAAATTATATCATCTTTCTCCAAACACATATTTAACAACAGGAATAGAAAGTTTAGGAATTTTCAAATACAGAAAAGATTTTAGCTATGAATTAAGTCTTGGTCACTGGCAAAACGAGTGCTTATGATCAAGTGGTGATTTCCTACAGCCACAAGTGTATGTAAGCTTGGAGTGTTGAAGAAATGTAACCTGTGTTTTTGGTAATGAATTTCTCTTTTGACTTGAAAAGTACACAAAAGACAAACTCTACTTGAACCCCTTACTTCTAAGGCCAGAGGAACCAGGGCTGGACTTTTGCTGCCCATCACAGCAGTCTGATCTCCACAATCTCATCCCTGTTCTGAGGAACCACTGTTCACTTTGAAGAATTTAAGAAGAGTCAACAAAGCCACTACAGCCAGTGTTGTTATTTTCCTTTATTTAAAACCTGGTAAAGGGGCTGGGATTTAGCTCAGTGGTTCCGCCGCTTGCCTCACAAGTACAAGGTCCCAAATTGGATCCCTGGAATCCAAAAAAACAAAACAAAACACCGGTAAAAAATACCATCAGTGTGTGGTGATGTGCTGATGAGCTGTTTCTATAGAAACAAGTCTAGTGGCAGGTAACAGAATGGAACTCAGATGCACAACTACAGCTATAAGAAGAGGTAAGAGGATTTCTAAAAACAATCTGTGGGTGCAAGGGTATGATAAAAACACTAAATAGGAGATTTCCGAATTGCTATACATATTTATTATCTTAAAGATTAAAATGTAATTGTTGTTTTGAGCTAAATCAAACATTAACCTGAAGCTCAATGCCTATTTGTTCAAAGATCCAAGTTATTCAGGGAATGGTTCTCTCCTATCAGGCACTGTCCTAGGACCCTCAATTA